TATCTATCTATCTATCTATCTATCTATCTATCTATCTATCTATCTATGTGCCTAACAAATTCCTGACAAAAATAAACAGATATATTTTTGCAGCCAAAGAGGATTCTGCAAACTACTGGATCATGTAGGACCATCATCAAGAGGGCTTTCTCTTACTCAACTCCTGTAACCTGGGAAATACCCTGCAAAAACATCTGAAGCTGTCTATTTTGACCTCTAAGGGATTTTAAACAACTGATAAGTTCAACGCAAAATTAAATGCAGACATGTTCCTGTTTTTAGTATTTTACCTCGTTTCATAAGGTAGCTTGTTTGTATTTTGTTTTATATCACTACTTATATTTACTTTCCATTTTGTATGCCTTTTATGACTGTTTATTGCTGTGTGTACCTCATCTGTATTTTTTTGTTTGTTTAAAACAGGTCTCTCTTGTAAATGAGTCCTCGTGACTCATTGAGACTAACCTGTATAAATAAAGGTTGAATGAAAACGACGTGCTTGCTCCATTTTCTGTATTCTATATTCTATATGTCTATATTTCACACATCACTTCTGCATTTTGATGCATTTTTTGTGAACATTTGTGAAAATGTGTATGCTTTGTAACAATTTAACATTTTGAGAAGCACTGCATGGGTTTTGTATATTTTGTATTCTAACGTGTAAAACTTGGGAACAGAATCAAACATTCCTTGAAGGATTGTGTAGCACCTGCCGCCTTTCACTCCACAGTTTGAAACAAAGAGCTCATATGGTTTGTTTTCACTCAGAGTATGTATCGACGATAACTCTCAGATACTACCAAGATCAAACTTTAGCTAAATACCTGAAAAATGGAATGATTTATAACCATTTATGTGTTTGCTTAAGTTGATCAGCTACTTTATCAGTGGTGGCCATTTTGAATCAAGCACCACTACTACTATATACATTGAACAAATCATTTCTGAGAGTTTATTTAAAATAGGTCCTCTCTTTGATGAGATATTTTGCTAACAGACTAACAAAACACACACTTTCATTATGAGGTAAAAAGGGTGCTCTCATTAATGTACAGTAGTTGTGATATTCACTTTAATGTGTATAATGTAAACCTCACATAGTCTATGAGATTAGTATATGGTACCACTTTTAGTGTATCCTTTGTTACCACTACTTTATAAATATTTAATTAGTAAAATATCAATTACATCGTGCGGTTATTAATAATTGTATTATATTTAATGTTCAAAATCCTATGCAAATTTTATAACCTGGCTTATTTAAACTAATGATTAATGTTTTGATGTTTCTAACTTCTAGAGACAGACAAGCTTTACGAACAAAATGCACATAAATTATCCATATATGCTAAATGAATTAGAACATGTGAATTATGAACTTAGCAATAAGACAAGCAGAAGGTGAAATAAAACGTACAGAAGAATAAAACAATACGTTTTGGAGAAAATATAATTCATTGACTTAAAAGTATTCAAACAATGGGTAACATTAACACTATTTATAATGTGGAGAAAGATGTGAAGCATAGCTACTCAAAGAGCAATACTGATTTGCAGCAAAATGTTTAATACAGTTATTGAGCAATATGACACATATTAACAGGAAATGCCAAAAGGCACACGTCCTAAAAGAAGAAGAAGAAGAAAAAAACGTGTCCATGAAAGGTAAAGGGGCAGGCTTTTGTGACTTAACATAGCAACAGTGCTGCATGACCACCGGCTCCCTGTGACAGCTGGGACATTTTCATCAGACAGTGGATGTTGCAATTCCATTGGTTAAAAAAGCTGTCAATCTTGAAAGAAGCCCCGCCTATTCTTCCTCGTCATAGCTCGGCAAACTGCCTTTGAAGTAGAGAGGGCGGCGACGAGCAAATTATGCCATGTGGTGCTCAAGACGTGCACTCTCATTGGATTACAGCCGCACAGAGTAACGCCCATTTCTGAAGGATACCACCGTTGATTGGTTCAATCCACCACCCCAGATTCGGCGTAAATGCGTTCACGGTTTTCCTATTCTTTGTTCCAAGTTACGTCAGCAGCGTGAACTTCTTCACTCGGCGGCAGAGCGACTTCTGTAACCCTTTACAGAAACTGCGTACGTATTATGCGCAGCGACAAAGACTGCTAGCCCGAAACCTATGGGGAAGGAATAAAAAAAGACGTTCGGTATCGTCGCACTCTGTACCTTAAGACCGTTATTATCTGAGTAGCTCGCCGCCCCAGAGCTTCGGTACAGACGCCGAAATTTGACGACGACGAGGCCGTATTTGGCGTTAGCTTAAAGTCTGCTAATTCGTTAAAGGAGCCCGTGGCGCCAGACAGTTTTTCATTTGGACGGTCTGTAGGCTCGGATAGCGAGGGAGCCGCCATGGCAGTCGGATCACTGAGCCTCCACATCGGGATATGAAGAGGAGCCGCATGTATCTGGAATCGACAAGAAAACGCCACATTTATCTCAGGTTGACACCCGAACTAGACCATTCTTACATTCGTGGGGTCCACACAGGAACAATTCACATTTGGCTTTGAACAGGGGGCCACAGGGAGAGGCCAGATTCATGACTATTTCAGTCCGTGTCTTCTGAGGCCCGTTGAAAGAAAACCTGGAGTTTAAGCGATGCTCTGATTGACCCATCGGTGCGCGAGAAGAAAGGACACTTTCGTAGGAGATATAAAAAGTGGCGCAAAGGATCGAGGGGTAATAAAAGTTCCCGAGAATCCGAGCTATACACATTTACTGACATCCTTTTTGGATGAGAAGCTTCGGCGAATCGACCAGCCCTGCCGTTTAGCAAGTCGCAGTGAATCAACGGGATTGGATCATCATGTCGGGTCGGCCCAGGACCACATCTTTCGCGGAGAGCTGCAAACCAGTACCGCAGCCATCTGCTTTCGGCAGCATGAAAGTCAGCCGTGAGTACGCCCCTGGCTCTTTTATGTCTTGTTCCTCGCATGCGCCAGGCCCTGCGTGGGCTAGCTTGTCTTTAACCCAGCCGGAGGACGGGTCGAGCTAGCACAACGTCAGGTCTAGTCACTGGATCGTGGTGCTCCCGTGCCGGTGTTCGGCAGGCCGCGCAGGGCAGGGCCGTGCCGAGGGGGGAGGGGGGGGGGGGTGTACGAGGATGGAGGTGGTGGGGTATGTTGGCACCTGTCCAGGTCAAAAACCCATGCCCTCTCCTATTACTGCAGAATCTGGTCTAATTATTGTGTAACTGACTTTAGATTGGATCTCGAAGCGGCATTACTGCCCAATCACACGCCTAGAAAGAGTTAAAGTGACAGCGCCGGCCTGTTACGCAAGCGTCAAGGCGGAAGGTGCGCCCTGTCTCCGTCCTGGATGTCGAGATTTGTCACGTCGTACGGTCTGACCCAGGGTGAGCCGTTTGTGAAGGCATGGGGCCACACGGCCATGGCTCGGCCTGTCAGCTGAGCAGTATCTCTCTCTGATTTAGTTTGGGGGTCCCTGCTAGTCTTCAGTGCGCTCTGCGTCCCGTTTCCAATTTCAACCGCTCCAGCCTCTATTAAAGCACAGAGATCTTCAATTAAACAGTCAGCTTGGTCCACTGAAAGAAATGTCTCAAGCTATATTTGTGTAAAATTTTGATTAAAAAATTAAAAAATAAATGCAGAGTTATACAGGCTTAATATTATTTGCATGTGAAAGGAGAGAAGAACAAACTATTTTTGAAATACCTTTTAAAGCTCTTTAATTTTACATTTACATGCCATCTTTTTATTCACTAAAAGGAAGAGAACAGAAATCAATTAATTTTATGTCATGCTCATTTGAAGACTGGCTGTGTTAATGATTTTCATGTTCACTGTTAAGGTGAGGGTTATTAAGAACAGAGAGGAATAAATTATTAAAACAAGCGGGTTATCTTGGTGATTTGGTCGACAGTCGATGACTATCGGGGCACTTGCGCATCTCTTAGAACACCTCTGGGCATGTCCAACTGAGAGGAGATCTCAGGGAAGACCAAGAGTCTATAGCCCTTTTTGCACTGTCCAGTTTCACCACCACTCACTTTGGCCTAATTCGACCCAATTGTACACACCTCAGGTGTTTTATGTGCGTTTCCTCAATGTTCAGTGTTGCCTTAGTGCAAGCTGGTTATAAAGCCACCACCTAAATCTTACAATTAAAATATTTCTCATAAGAGGAAAAAAAAGCCATAAAACACTATTCTCTTGACACCATCGTTGCCAAGTTGAAGTCACCATTTTCCTCTGCCAGTTGTAGACTGTAAATCAAGTCCATTCGGTTTAGCTTTGCCTAAATTCTGTCATCAGCCAAAAAAAACCAGCGATGTTTACCCTACTATTATCCAAGGAGAGAGGGCGGGGCACCATCCCAACAGAACTGCCTGCTCCCCATAAAGGTCATGGTATGTAATAAATTAATATACGTCTGTATTAGGAATGCGTGATATAAACGGTATACGGTAGAAACGATAGAAATTTAGCCTACGGTAGAGATCTGACTTCGATCGGCTAACCGCAGTAATGCTGTGTCTGATGTAAAATCAGAGTTGTCAGTTTAATTCAAAGTTTGTTTTCTCAGTCATCCAGGTATATAACAACAAAAAAGGTTGAATCATGTCATCTGGACTTCGTTTTTTTGTTAAAAAGAAACGTTTCGCCCCTCATCCAAGAGGCTTCGTCGGTCTGAGGCCTAGCCATCTGGTATTACCCAGAAGCCACCCTGACTCTTGTGTTTCAAGCCTGCCTCA